TGCGTGCCTATGGGTTCAGGCTAGGGAAATTTCATCAAACAAGAGTAAATGGAAGAACGTGAGGAAAAGGGGAGAGGCTGGCTTGACAAAATTAAGGTTTTTAACGCCTATAAAAGGAGCCACTTTCTTCCCAGCAAAACACACAACAAAACTGATCGAAGGCAAGCATCCCCTCTGGAATCCTTCAATTTCATGCTTTGTTCTTCCATCTTCCTCCTTTCTCTCTCTCAAAATCCACATCCAGAGAGAGCAAGCATCATCTCTCATCTCTGGAACCCTCCGATTTCAAGCCTTGTTCTTCCATTGCTTCCCATTTTCTCTTCTGTCAAATCGCCCAGGAGCTTGATGAAGCTTTCGTCAAGCTGCCGGAAATATGCTAAAGCCACCCATGCTTTCATCTTCTTCCTCGCTCTCTCTCTCATAACACATATCCAGATAGCAAGCCTTGACGAAGCTTTCGTCAAGCTGCTGGAAATATGCTAAAACCACCCATGCTTTCATCTTCTTCCTCGCTCTCTCTCTCATAACACGTATCCAGAGAGCAAGCTTCCCTCTCATCTTCAAAACCTAGCAATTTCGTGCACTATTCATCCTTCTTCCCCATTTTCCCTCTTGGCAGAACTGTTCCAGTACTTGACAGAACTTTCGTCAAGCTGCCGGAAACTTGCTCAAGCCACCCGTTCCTCTTCCTCATCTCTTCCTCTCTCTCCTTAACAAATCCTCCCAAAAAACTCTCTCTTCCCCTTACTTCAAGCATATGTTTCTCATAGGAAACCCAAGCCTTCTCTCTCTCATGCTAAACTCACGAATGCTCAGCTCCTATGCCACAAGCTTCTCATGCCAAGCCTAAATATTTATCTGCAAGCAATCTTCTTTTTTGTTGGTGAAGATAACCAGGGTGTTTCCTAAGGCTCCGCTACCCTTTCGTAGCACACTTGGGGTTTGATTCTCGAACTCAGACACAAGGGGCGATTCCAGCCATTTGCTCTTTACAGCAGTCCAGGCCCATTCGTCAAGCTGCTGGAATAAAAAAGCCCCTACAAATTTCAAAGAGTTTGCATGACATTCAGCTTTAAGGACATTGTTTTAGGTCAAGCATTGAGTTTCTATTTTTTTTGTGAATGTTGGAGAGGTGGGGATATTCCTCTCATTCATTTCCTTTCAAGCTTTGTCTTTACGTTTGTTGAGGTTGGTATGGAATTAAAATAACTAATTGGAATGACCATTTGGTCTAGGGGTGGGCATCGAGACCGGAAAATTGGAACACCGAATTGGACTAGATGGAAAAAACTGGAAAAAGAGTCAACAAATCGGCATCGAACCGGTTCCGGTTCTGATTTCACACTTTACAAAATTAGACCAAACCAGATGAGACAGGTTGTGTATATTTTTATTTTTTTACAAAATTATTTAAATCGTTTGCTACATTTTAATCTCATAACTAATATTTCCCCAAGCCCAACTTCAAAACATCTTCTAGGCCCAATATCTCTCTTTACATGAAATTGGATCGTTTGTAAATTTTCAAGCCCAAAAAAAAAAAAATTAGTTGAAATTTGTATTTTAAAAAAAAATTTGTTTGAAAAAATAATAATAATCTAGTCCAAAAAACCCAAACCGGTTCAAACCGAACTGTCAATTTCATAAATAAAAAAATTTATACTAAAACTAGTGTTTTGAGTTTTAGATACCTGCAAAACAAAGGTTAATCTAAACACAAATTATACTCACAAGTGCACGAGCTCAATCTTAATTTAGCAAGGCAAGCACGAGGTCATTCCCACAAGGACTGATTTCTTAACTTTGAAGTAATTAAACCTAATTTAACTTAACAGACACTGAGACAAATAAAATGGAATTTAGACACATGACTTACACACATAAACACAAACGAGATTTTTTATAATTAATTTGAAGGCAAATAAGAAAACAACTAATTAAACACACAAACAAAGGACAATAGAACTAGTTTTCAGCAAGATATGACAGCACTAGGACAATGAATGCACTCCTAATACTCTTCTCTAATCTCTTATTCCCTTCCTCTTCATTACTCAAATTATATTGTTGACTAATTCCCTTTAGTATGAATTATCTATGGTATTTAGGCTAACTCACATACCCTAACATGGAATTCGACTATGGTATTTAGTCAAATCTTATCATGCAAGAATTCATTAAGTATAATGGAATCCAGTATAAGCCATGCAACTCCCTAGGAATATGATATTTACCCTAAGCGAATCACAATTTTTAATCACGAGACGCAGGTCTGAAACTCCGTATGGTATTTACGCAAGTTTGCATCAAATAACTCAATCAAAAACCTAGATGGTAGTTAAGCATCCAAGCAATCAATCAAGGATAAAACAATGATAAAAAATCCAATTCAATAGAGCTACGAAAAGAGAAATTAGAACAAGAAAACTAGATAATCATATTAGGGTATCATCACGCCCTAGCAAGAAAGTGTATAGTTACACATAGTTATGAGTAACATCAAAAGAAAAGACATGGAAAAAGAATAGAACCCACAAAAACTGAAGATATTGCACTTTAGGGTTGATTTTCTTCTCCTCAAAGCATAACCCCTTTCTATAAAATTTTCCACCTCCTTATATCATGTCCTAGGGTCTGAAAAATTCTCTAATAATAACCTAGGACGTCCCAATCCCTAAAGAATAGGTAAAGACATAAAACTAGGAAAGTCTTAACTCAGAATCCTTCTTTGACTGGGAAAGCAGATCAGTTACTTTGTACACGTCTGGGGCCGTTTCTCCTTTAGGATAATTCAGGAAAAATATGTAAATTGTAGATCTTTGTCTTATCTTTCCAGCCATATATCGCATGCCTTGAGGAAAAATCAGGAAAGTCTTCAAATAATCATTCTTCCACAGTAGCACAGTTTTGACAGGATTGCACCTTATGCTGACTTAACTTCAAAGATTGCTCTCATTGGCTATTTCGAAAATTCTAGAAAAATTCCACAATCATCTTCAAGATCTTAGCTTTCATTTCCAACTAGTCTTGTACCAAAACTCCGCCAAAAAGTCTTATTTCCGTTGAAAATTAATTAACTGCTCCAGAAAGCTGAAAATTGAGAAAATAAAGTAATAAGTCCTTCTTTAATCCAATTCTCCTACAAAAATTAAGTATAAAGAGTACATAAATGCATAAATTTATGAACTTATCAACTAGACCGAATCAGACTGGTTAAATAATTCTAGTTTCGATTTCAGTTTGAGGTGGAAACTGGACCGGCCTTGACCGCGCCCACCTCTAATTTGGTCTAAAAATTAGTGCGTATGAAACTTTTACTTACTATAACAAAGAAAAGAGTCGAATTTGAAAATCTCTTTTTTAAAATTGGGAAAAAAAAATTCACTAGACTAAATACTCAGTGTAGGACGCTTGTCCTTTACTAATGGACGAATTTTTTGTCGATAATGTATCAATAACATGCTGATACATTTTGTTATTGATCGACACCGTATTGACAAAAGATGAATGTATTATTAACAATCGCATATCTGCCATCCTCTAACTTGCGGTTCGATGATCAGAATCTCTTTTAGTTAGTGACACTTTTGGTTGAAAAAAGAGACATCAAAAATCGAGTACTCATTGATTATCATCATCATTTCAATTTTATCAACCATATTGTGTTTATCTTCACACTTTCCATGGCCCAACGATTACAGATTGGCTAATAGCTAGCAAAGATTATCCTTAAAATATCACTTTGAAATTAAATAATTTCAGTCATTGGGTCATAAGGCTAGATGACCCGGAGAGGATGTTTATATGATCAAAGGATCATTCATAAAATAAAAATGACTTGCTCCCCTTCCCATGTATAGCAAATAGTATCATATGCGGATATTATAATTCCTTTTGCTCCACATTATCATATTATAATAGGTGAGAAGAAGATATTTTGCCTACTTCAATGCCTACTCAGGAAATCGCTTATGTGGCAAGGCAAATCAGGGTTCAAGGGACCAAACCTTGCAAGTTCTTATATTACCTGAAAGGAACCAACCCATATTCGAAGTCCCCCACAGTAAATACATTGCAAGATAAGACTAAAGATGGCAAGGAAGCCAACTCTGCAAATTACGACAGCGACAAGGCATTGCAGACAGCAACGAAAATGAAAAAGTTGCTCTGTTTATACAAACAGGAGCAAAAAAACTTTAAAATTTATACAGGCAGAAGAAAAGCAAGAAAACTTAAAACTTGAATATGTTTTTAACATTCAACAACGCATATTGTTCACATATATTATTTTAATTATATGAAGTTCTAGCAAACCCTGACTTCATAAAGGGTTGAATATATCGCTTGCCACCATACTAAGATCAATAAAAGCATTTATTTTTTGTTCAAATCTCAAATTGGGACACCATGACCATTCACCACACTAGTAGTAGTAGTACTCACGACATGACTTACTCTTAATCTTCACAGTGAAATATTTTATACCTACCACATCCCATTTCAGATACATAGTATGATTTCCTTCCACATTCCCAATAATCTGTGCAACTCAGAGCCCTCCAAAGCTTGTCGCGCAAGAAACCTCAACTAGAATTACATACTAAACCACCTCCCAGCTGATGATTACCAGTATCCACAGCAATATATGCTTCAACAGTTCAGAAGAAGAGCGAGTACACCAATTTTATTCCACCAATTGCTGGAGGCATAAAAGCCTCAAAACCAACAGATGATCTTATTAACATGTTCTCTATCCACCCCCCATGTAACCAGACAAGGCACTTACTTCTTATGAACTTCGCAGCACGAAACATGTATCCATATTTCTCATCCTCCGAGCTGGAGAGCTTTCGCAAAATCTGTATTCAAGGTAAAAATAAAATAACCATTAACCCACCCATAACAAACAAATAAAAAACCCACCACTACCTCCAGAATATCCTAGTGAACTGAATGATTGGCTTGTTGATTTAAGACATGCAGAATCATTACTTCTGGTTCTGGGAAAGTAATTAAAGAGGTTTATGCTTCTAAAGGTTATACACAACCATATCAAGGTTAGAATATATGATAAAAGTTCCTGGTCGAGTGCTTAGAAAGTCTAGTGCAAATCCCAATGTTGATCTTTAGCTTAGAAAGAAGAGGTTATCAACAACCATTCCTTAAGGTCACAAATTTCACAGATTTAGGCTATACATGATTTCAGGAATGGAGAAGATTGTGACTATAATACTTCAAAAATAATTTTAAAAAAATTCATAGAAAGGATTTCCTAGCATATTATAAGCTAATTCCAAGAGACTGGAGATCTATAGTCATGGATTTCCTAATTAATATTACTGTAGATACTAGAAAGCAACCTACCTATTAATTATCGAACTCACTCTCACCAACAGAATATGCAACCATAAACCAGCATGCAAAACAGAACAGACGAACATAACTTCACACAAGTACGCACCTGTGTAGTTGTAACTGCCAGCAAGAAGCCAAAGCCACCAATGCTCCAACAGAAAATTAACATTGACAAAGCTTCAAATTTGGAGTTTGAATTCGGTAGCAAAAGGCAATGCGGACATTCACCAGGATCATCCTCAAGAACCTTAACAACAATAAGGGAAAAATCTACATAAAGAACAGAAGGGCAGCAATTGTAACAGATGCAGAGAAAAAACAAATTCTCACCATCATAACCATACTGACTTCACACAAAATAACGGCCTGTCCAGACAGACTGTCCTTGATATTGCTCAGGCTGAGGAGTCAAGTGCTGATTTCCATTTACAAGTTGTTGTTGTTGCTGCAGCTGCATTTCATGGTGTAGTTTGAGCTCATCGAGCATCTGAAAATCTTGCCAGCTTTTCTGTTTTTCTCCTTGGAGTTGCATAGGTGGACCCTGTTTACCAGGAAAGGGAAAGTTCACTGGCCCACTCAAGCCATTGCTGTTAATGAAGCGATTGGGGTTTGAATGAGATGAGATATTAATGGAGCTATTGAGCCCATTTCCTTTTGTTGAAGATGGCATCTGATATCCATCCAACCAGCTGTAATCGTCCATCAGTAGATTCTCACTCATTGAGTCGGAGCCATAAATCGATTCATTCACATTTTTAGGAGGAACAGGGCTAAAACCAGGTGGTGGACCAAGATGCCTAACAGGTCGACTTACTGGATTCTTTCGGATACCTGTGGGCAGGTTAGATGATGTCTTCACAGTCAAACCGTCAGCAATTGCTCCAGAATATGATATAGCATCAACCTTAATCGGCAACATAGCTTCTGGAGCTTTTGTGTGGCTGTAGACCATACCACTAGTACTACCATTTACTGGCTGCTGGAATGGAACTGAAACTGCCACAGGCTCAGATGCAAGTACATACCCATTCCCCATAAATCCCATACTCTTTAAGCCGTGAGCAAGAGACATTTCTTCCTCTGTTGACAACTTCAAAGCATGTGATTGAGTTGGTTGCAAATTCTGGGGGATACTATTAGCAACTGATACAGGTAGTTGTGAACTAGCACCAAAACCAGCTTCCATTGACAGCTTGGAAGCATGTGACTGAATTGATTGCAAATGGTGTGGTACACCATTACCAACAGATACAGGTATTTGTGAACCAGCACTAAAAGGGGTTTGATGGCGAAGATTATCAAAAGGGGCAGTGACATAAGTGCCATTAACTTTAACATCACCTGGAGAAGCATTTTTTCCAGGCACCAGGCCTTCATAGGCTGCCCAAGTAGTGTTTACCACATCAGGCCGCTTCTCAGCCACTTTTACCACATCAGGCCGCTTCTCAGCCACTTTTACCACATCAGGCCGCTTCTCAGCCACTATTGGCTTAAAAACTATTACTTCATCTTCCTCATCCCCTTCCATGGTTAACTCAGGCTTTGGATATGCAACTCCCAACTTCATTGTATTCTCTGTTTGATTTTCTTGCACATTATCATTTTCAGTAGCCATGCCCATATAGGAGGTAGGAACAAAATCATTTTGCACCGGAGGCTCAAAACCAATGACAAATTTCTTTGCCTTCGAATCAAAATATACTGCTTTCTCATCAACCTTAATCACATTTGCAAGAGCCTTGCCTGCCGCCACAATCCGTTTAACACGGGCCCCTTTTTCCTTGTGGCCGTCACTTCCAAAAGAATGCTTCCTTGAGAAGTCCAATATAGTTTGCGCTGGAAGAAGTGGAATGAATCCTCTCAACTCAAAATCCTCCCACAAAGCAAGACGGTTCTCAGTTTCCCCTTCTTCATATCTGCTCATATTATTAAAGCAAGTCTCATCTTCATCATCATCTATGGACACAAGCCCTGTTGACGAGATACTATTCAGGAAGGAGATGCAAACCATCCAGAACTTTGATCTAACTTTAGTCTGTTTTTCATCTGAATCGCTTCCAGCTGCAACATCCGGGCAACATGCTAACCATTCTACAAACATTAGAATGCCCGGTAACAGGAAACTTGAAGAAGGATCACACAACTGGACGCATCTCTCTAAGATGTGCCCCATCAACTCAAAGACAGCAGTAAATGCATTCTGCAGTACGACAGCACGTTGTACAATTTCAGCATATGTCTGACCTTCACTTTCCTTCTTCACATTGTGAACTGTGAATATCAATATGGAGACAAGTCTAACAATGAAAAGTCCATTCTCAACAGAATCTGCACCGAAATTCTGCAACTCCTCTGCTCCAGAAGACAGGAGCTCACATAAACCACTGCTTACCACAGAGAGAACTTCTACAAATGTCTCCAGGCTACACAAAACAGTCATAATTAGGAGGTAATCTTCCAAACATAAAATAAAAGAGAAAGGAGAGACAGAGAGAGGTCCAAGTAATAAGAAACAATTCCATATCGATATACTTCAGAAAAAAAATTACCTAGTACGTGTGAAAAGAATTCCATTTAGACGGACAAACCGTATGCAAAAACCCTTATAAGTATCCTGAGCACTGGATGCTTTTTCCTTAACAAGGCTCACTTCTGTATTGTTATCTTTAGATGCAGGTATTGCTTCCGCCTTCCCCCTACCTTTGCCTGTCAATCGTGCAGGCAACTCTTTGACTGCAGAAGCATTAGTATTCCCAGGCAGTTGAGAGTAACTCTGACGATTCTACACCAGACAAAAAAGATATATACATAAAAAACAACACATACAGTATTTCAGGCAATAAAATAGGGAACCCAGGTGAGGAAATTAAAAGATGTTACACTGGATAAAGGCTTTAATGCTTAAACATCAGCAAATTAATTAGTAAACAGTCCCATGTTCTTTTACGTGATATTAATTTCAAGACAGTTACACTTGAAAGAAGCACATACCTGACAAATTACTTCTTAAGTTTTAAGCTTCAAGCCAGAAGGCGGTACCGCTCACATTTTCCTAATCCCTCCCAACACCTTATCAGGGTTTGACTACCTCAAAACCATCTCCTTCTTAAAGGGGGGGAGGTAACACTACCCTACCATTCGTAACATAGATGTGGTTGATATGACAACTCAAGTCACCCTGACGAAATAAGACAAACTACCCTAACTTTCATAACATCAAAGGACCAAAGGTCACTTCAAGTCCAGAGGTGCATAATCAGTTATACTCAAACACAAGTGCTTGCTAAGTTGGCAAGGGTCAATACCGCAAGAAGCATGGGTCCTAAGTATGACCAAAAGTTTCGCTAAGCTATACGATTCTTAGTGAACAAAAGTTAGAACTAATGCTTGACAAGCCAAGAGAAAAACCATTAGACCTCTAATTATGGCCTAATATTTTGAGAGAAGAATTATTAAATGATTGGCAATTCCTCAAAAATGTCAAGATAAGAGCACAGGAAACAATTACAACATTTCCATAGGTCATGCAAAGAACACAATACCTTCTCAAATGCAACAATCAAGTTATCCCTTGCAGTTGAAAAGGGACTATCCACCGCCAGGCTACGAAAATATCGATAAACTGCCACCAACTCATCCCCCGAATAGGATGCCAAAATAGCAAGCTGAAAAAGGAGGATGATTTGTCAGAGTGAACGGTCAAAATCATCATAAACAGACACATCCAGAGGAAAATATATGAAAAAAAATATCAAAACAAATACCTGATGATGGGGATTCCCACTTGATGGCCAGAGAGATGCAGCTTGCAAGTAGTAACTTGAGGCTGCAGCATACTCACGAGTTTTGGAGTCCCCCTCCCCATACAATCCTTTGTAGCGTGCAAGATCACCCAAGTAGATCAAACATCGGTGGCACGATATCAGACCTTTCTTCATTTCAGTAGATTTCTTTCCATCCTTGTCCATAACAATTTTATTTTCAGAATCCTCAGAGAAATACCCGAGAGGGAGCCCATACTTAGCTCTGATCTTCACTATCAAATCATGATAAAATCCTGTTGCCTCTGAAAGGAATGTTTTAAACTGCAATCTTATTTTTGTAATCCGATCAGGCCGAGCAGGGCCCTTCACAGCCTGAGATGAGTTTGAACTTGCAGAAGCCGTAGCAGCACTAAAGTGTGCTCTCAATTCCTCAATACGCTTGTAATGCAGCTGCCACAAAGCATACTCAATATTGTGCTGCTCAGAAAAAGCATGATCCTCAAGAATTATTGCTTCATAATTCTCACGTATCTGTTGCCAGGCATTGGGATCTGAGGGAATTCGAGCTTGAGCAGACCTCCGACGCCTATTCTCCAATTCAATAACCTGCAAAGTAAAAATATGAATGTAAAATGACAGGAAACTATGGAGCATGATTGCACATAAAATACAGACAGCACACATGCACAAGCATGCATATACACAGATTCCTTCTGTATATCTAACAGAACCTCCATTCAACATTTGCATCAAGCACGTGGTAGTTACTGGTTTAAACATATAGGCAGTTTAAAAAATAGTAATCAAGAAAAAACATAATCTTTTTATGAGGGAAAAGAATATACCTTGTCATAGAGGCGTTGGGCACGCTCCCTTGATGAAGGAGCTGACATTTTATCCATATGTGTAATCATCGTCCATCAAGTATGTTTGATTAACCAAAAACAGCATTAAATCTGCAGAAAATTAAAACCCCATCATTGGATGAAAAACTAATTAACCAGATATTGTTTCTCAATTAAAAAGGCAGTCAAGGAAAGGATGAAGAACATAAAATAAAACCACATCTTTTGAGCAACATATTTAGTTAACAGATTTCATGCTAAACATCCACCCAGATCAATCATTGTGAAAACCATCCATTATTACCCGCACATATATATATATATATATATATCTAAATTTTATTTGACAACTTCTCAATTGTAGATATTTCAATATGTTATTGACTCTAAGAAAATCACAACATGCCATAATGGAATAGTCATGCCTTAAAATCCCAAAAGAGAAGATGAACTAAGTAGAAAACTTTGATGTATACACCCATGAATAAAGCCATAAAACAAAAAAATCAATCAATCAAGGAGACAAAAGTGGAAAGAGCCCTCAGATGGCAGTAAATTTTGGATCATTGTACAACTTGCAAGGAAACACCATTTAGAACAAAACAAAATTTAAAAGCATAGTGATCACGTACAAAAAGAATAAATCTCTACTGTAAAACCAAATATCTTACAAACTCAACAATACCATTAACAGTTTCTAAAATTCCTCTGTAACAATTCTAATCCATTCAACCAAAATGATGACTATTAAAGAGCTCAACCACATTGTCACCATGTTCCTTCTAACCATGGGAAAAGATTTCTGAGTCATAAAACTGTTGCTTCTTGCATAGCATTAGCACAGTTCACAAAACCGTTCCACATATGTATTACTCGTACAAATGGATGAAATGATTAAGCATTCCAACTCTATTCTTAAAATTGAAGCTTAGGAATTAGGATATGAAACAATAATTGCATACAACCACCTAATATTCATCAACAATTCAGAAATAAAAACCCAAATTCCATAATGCTTTAAGCATGCAGGATATTACAGACATAAAGAGAAAAACCCATGTTTGATTTCTGGAAGATTTTGGGAGAAAAAATAATAACAAAACAAAACAAGAAAAAACCTAGAAAACAACGGCTTCCAAAACCAATAGCTGCGTATCACACCATGCCAATTTCTATTTCTCTTTCCTCTTCCTTTCCTGAATTTAGAACAAAAAAAGAATGGAGAAGAAAAATTCCCAGATATAATAAAAGAAGCGAACAATCAATTTACAAAAAAAACAATGAAAGAAGTACGAATAACAACAGATCCGCTAAATCAAAATAGCATACCTAACTTAGATCAAACAGGTCTACAATTTCCCCACAATAAACAAGAAAAAAATTATTAAACTAAATAAAATCAAGAAAAGATAAAAGATGGGGAAAAAAACGCACCTGTGTCCGGATCAACGCGGAGATTTGCCGGATTAGAACATCGGATTGCGAATTTGAAGTTTCTGAAAGAGAAAAGAAAGTCTTCGTGTTTAGGGTTTGGTTATAGAGAGAAGAGGAGAGAGAGAGAGAGAGAGAGAACGGTGTTGTTTGGTTTCTTTTGGTTTTGTGGTTTTTGGGTCCAAACGGGATGAGGTAGGGAGACAATTTCTTGTGTGTTTCTTTTCTTTATTTTTTTCTTTTTCCGTTTGCTTTTTCTATTTTTCTGTTCATTTTTTGCATTTTCTATTTATTTAGAGCTATTACCAGCTTTAGTTTCAGGCGGCAAGCAAAGAGACGCCGTCGTTTTGGACCTGATAATGGTTTATATATCCATTGGCCGTCCGTTATTTGTTTTCCTTTTTCTGGTTTGCTGACTCAAGAAATTACTTGACTACCTGTTTCTAGTTATTTTTCTTTGTTTTTATTTATTTATTTATGAGTGATATATAGGGAGAGAAATTATTTTATGGTACCATAGTACCACATCTAGGAGTGGGCATCACTTCGGGCATCACTTCGCGAATTGATGATACCTGTTTCTAGTTAACGATTTGATTTGGTTTTGACAAAGAAAACGGCTTAAAAACCAAATTGGACTGGTTTAAACCAAACCGGACTGTTTATGTGTATATTTATTACTTATATTATATTTTACATGTGTAATACTCTAAGGCCTCGTTTGGTACACCTCCCTGGACTGGATTGGATTAGACTAAAATTAGGCCCATGTTTGGTACACCAACTTCTAGTTCTAAGCTGGGATTATTCATGCGGGGCCCACCAGAAGCACCTCCTTAGCAGGTGTTAGCGAATCCCGTGCGAAAGGAGGGAACTAACAATCCTGCGTGTTTTCAGACCAAAAAAAAAAAAAATTAATTTAAAAATCTCGTGCGTTCTGTGCTCGTCCTCCTGCTCCCATGTCCGCCAAATCAGCCGAGTTTTTGATCGATAGCGACTCCAGCCCTGAACACAATGCTGTGTCATCGAGCTCGGACCCAATCACCGAGCAAATCTCATGGATCTGAATCAGTGCGAGGGTTCGTACTGTGCTTGCGATGCCTTGACAAATCTGAAATCGCCATGGAAATGGAAGAACCAAAATTGAGAGAGAGAGAGAGAGAGAGAGAGAGATATGAAGAGGAGAGGATGGTGCTGATGGTTTTTGGGGAGTTCTGGCTTCCCTTGCAGAGATCCAGTGGCTTGTTGTCGATGGTTTTGGGCGATTGTGGCTATGGGTTAAGTAAAAAATTACTTTTATTAGTTTTTTTATTTTTAAAATTTTTTAATTAATTAAATAAACATATTTTTATTTAAGTCCTAGTCCCAGTCCAGAATTATACCAAATGCAGGAAAGTCTTATTAAGCTTAGTCCAAGCCAAGTCAATCCATGACAGTACTTAAGTATAGTCCATGCTAAGACAGTCCTGCATACCAAACGAGCCCTAGGTAATAACTATATATGGATATTTGAACTAAGCTATATTAGTATTTGAAATTTGAAATTTTATGGCATGTTGAGCTTTAGAATGGTTTCGTACTCTAGAAAATGATTTAAGTATGGAGCAAGTTGTGAATTTGTTGGTTGTAATTGGGTTAACAATATTGAAAACATGCAAATGGAAAGATAATTGGCTTAGGACCAAACCATCTTAAATTGATTTGGTTTGGTTTTCTTCATGACTATTGTCAAAATCAAATTGAACCAAACCATTATATTGTAATTAATTTGACCGTAGTTTTGAGGTGAAACCGATCTAATCCAGACCGTGCCCACCCCTAACCACATGGTATCATTTGTCCACATATTATATAATATAATGGATGACATGGTTGGTTGGTATTTCCCACTTTTAGGGTACAGTAACAATAAATATCCATTTGTTATCATGGACAAGTCATATCATGTGACCATACTATGGTACCACATTCACGCTCTCATTTGGTAGGGTAAGGTTCACCTTTTGTTTGATGCCAAGTCAAAAACCCCCAAAAAATATCATTGGTAAAGTAAAATATTAAATGTAATGACCTCAAAAAAAATATTTTGTTTTATTATTTTTGTGAAAAAAAAATCATATTAAGTTGTGTGGTAATTATGGGTAAATTTTGAAGTTGATTTGGTGTGAGAATATTGGATTTAAGAGTGTTTAATCTCAATTTGGACAAAAATCCCCTTTTATGATTTTTCAAAGGATGTTCAAGAAATTGAAGTGAGAAAATTATAATTTTGGACTACAAAAATAAAGCTCAATCTCACGAAAGCGTGGGTACAAACGGTTCGTGGATCGGAGTTATAACGAAGGATAAATTAAATTTCAAAGTTTTGAAATTTAATTGGAGGGCTAAACAGTGAATAGTGTACAGTGTACAGTATACAGTGCTATTCTAGGGTTACTATTTATGTACAGTGTACAGTATACAGTGCTATTCTAGGGTTACTATTTATAGGGGACTACTATGCAAAAAAAAAAAAATCAGATAATTGCACAGTAGCCCATGACCTGAATCAGAAACCCCAACTCGAATCGCGACCTGGCTGGAGGATTTGACTCGACTTGGCTTTTCTAGCGACGATAGGTGTTGATCTTGGTACCATTGGAAAGCTCTTGGCGGTGTCGTTCCATTTTAGGGATTAATCGACGCTTTCAACCACCGTGTAAAGCCCAGTAACTCCATGAAGCTTTGGCTTTGAATTCGAAACTTCAATCGTGGTTTTGATCTCCTTCCGCGTTGATTCAGGTATTTTCTCAAGTTTTAAGGTTGTTTATCTCGTCGAGTTCTTTAAGGAAGTGTAGTTTTGGACTGGCGATTCTAAGATTTTTCCATTGTCGAACTGCCACGTGCGTGGCGGTGGTGTTCTGACTGAGTTGTGAAGATAGTTTGTAGTCGTCGTAGTCCTGAGCAAGTTGGTGTGCTCGAAATTGCGAGATTCTGTTGTTTGATCAACAATCGAAGCCTCACAAATCTGAACCGTTAGATTGGAAATTATTGGACCGTTGGATCATGTTCGATTTTATTTATGTTGCAGCTGGTGTGTTTCAAAGTTACGGAGCCGTTAGATTGGAAATTATTGGACCGTTGGATCATGTTCGATTTTATTTATGTTGCAGCTGGTGTGTTTCAAAGTTAAGGAGAGCGATCGCCATTCGATCAAGCAATCTAGAATGATCCGACCATTGGATTGGGCCCAAATTGATGCAGGATGACGTCAGGACTATTTAGAGGAATGGGTCTTTTGTTTTTGTTGTGGTTGTATGTTATTTTCAAGCTTGTTTATTTTAAGATAATACTCAAATATGGAATTAACAGTTCACTTGTCTTATGCCAAAAGGAGAATGGACCAAGGCAGAGGCAGAGGCAGAGGTAGAACTAGAGGGAGGGCCGAAGAGCCCGGAGCTGTAGAGCCTACTCCTGAGATTCATGAGGAGTTTGAGAATGAGATTGTGGAAGAAGTTCATGCTGGTGCTCAAAATGTGCCCAATGTGCAAATGGATGATTGTACAGCTGATCTATTTGCAAAGTTCTTGCAGGCAAACGAGCATGGGGTTCCTCAACCACCACCGGTGCCACCCACAGATCCCTTTAGAATATCCCTATTGATTCGTGACCTCAAGAAACTAGAAGTTAAACCTTTTGAGGGTAAAGTCGATCACATGAAGGCGGACAGGTGGATACGAAATCTTGAGAACTACTTCAAGATTTTGGGTATGACCATTGTTGAAAAGAGGAGCGCAGCTTCCTTTTACTTACATGATGAGGCACGAGTGTGGTGGGAGGCGGTGGAAAGATCACAGAATGTGGACCAAATGGACTGGGAAGGGATTTTGGCACTTTTTTACAAGAATTACTTCCCTGCTACTATAAAGGAGGAATTACAAGTGGAGTTCCTAAACTTGACACAAAGGTCCCTAACTGTGAGGGAGTATGAGGCATGGTTCGCTGAGTTGTCTCATTTTGCTGACCCTATGAGTGAGTTGCAACAAAACCAGAAGTTTCAAAGGTTTAAATGTTTATGTCAAAAAGATGGTGATTGGTTTCCGCCATACGAAAGTTGTGGATGTGGTGGAGTGCGCAGCGTCTATTAAAGCAAACAATAATGAGTTTAAGAAGAGTCTGGATGTCAAGAGAGACGTCAAGGGGAACGGAAAGGCGCTAGCATGAAGTAGCACTACTAGGAATCAGGAGGTTGGTAAGAAGCAAAGAACTGGGTAATAGACTGTGACAAAAAATGATGCACATGCTAAGCAAGTTGGGTCTATTAGGTGTTATAACTGCAATGATGTGGGCCATCTCACTACAAAAAAAAATAAGGTCATTACCAACCAAAGTTTTCCAACAGTCCCAAACATCTGTCGCAAAAAATGTTTTTTGGGTTCAAAATATGTTGTCCGCTGGAAATATGTCACGGGCCTGAAATTTATTTCTGACAAACGAAATGCTCTCGGAAAAGGTTTGTATGGTCATCGAAAATGTCATTTATAGTAGGAAGCTTTGGCGCCAACTTTATTCATGACCAGACGTACGTTTGTCAGAAATAGGATGATTATTTCCAAGAGGCTTCTCATTCCTTTGAAATTATTTGACTATTTCCGAGGGGATTCTCATTCCATCGGAATTGTTTGACTAGCCAAGGGGCTTCTCCTTTCGTCCAAATTGTTTTACTATTTTCGAGGAGAAATATGTCCTCTCGGAAAAGTTTGAAGGTCAATTTCCCATTAAAATAAGTAAAAACAATTTGATTGATAATAACAAATCACACTCCAAAATAGATAACTATAAATAGCCAATCCAAAAAAAATAGATAATCACAATTACATGACAACTCATCTCACAGTTGTAAGTTGAATCACATCCCTTCTTCAATCAATTTCATTGTCTTCAACATCATTTTGGAGATATATTTCACAAAAGGAAAAATAATTGAATTCCTTAACATGGTGATATGGGAAACAAGACCATTGACTCCATGAATTTGGATTCAATTGGCCTAATTCGAATTTGGATTGTAAACGAATTGGATTTGGATTACACTGGCCTAAAATGCAAATACCATATCGACTTTGGATTCGAATTATCATATTTAACACATCAATGGTTTCTTTAGATTTTCAAATACTCTTGCTCACAAGTTCTTCCAATTAATAAAGAGACCAAATTATCAAAAAGTTTGATTTCCCTCATCATCATATCAGAAGAATTAAGTTAAATTAGTAATGTAAACAAATTGGATTTGGATTACATTGGCCTAAAATGCAATACCATATCGAATTTGGATTCGAATTATCATATTTAACACGTCAATGGTTTCTTTAGATTTTCAAATACTCTTGCTCACAAGTTATTCCGATAGATAAAGATATCAAATTATCAAATAACATAAAAAAGTTTGACTTCCTTCATCATCATATCGGAAGAATTCAGTGAAATTGCTAATGTAAACGAATTGGATTTGGATTACATTGGCCTAAAATGCAACATCATATCGAATTTGGATTGTATTCGAAATTTCAAATGCTCTTTGACACTTAATATAAAGTAGAATTCGTAGATATTGAAGCTACCCTACACAAATTGAAGTATCAAAAGTTTTTTCGTTTGGAAAAAAACAAAACAAAAAAAGCCATTTCTTATATTTTCTTAAATTAATTTATTTATATAACAAAATATATTAAACAAATCATCAATTAAACTCCCGCTTGTCCAAAAAAAGTGGGGAAAAGCCCAAATTAATTATTTCTTTTGCAACTCAAGCCTCTTTTTTAATTTGGGTTTTTTGCTAACCCTAACAGTCCATATATGTATCAGTTTGCAATAGTAGCCACAAAAGAGAAAAAAATCCTTCATACGTTTTCTCTGCAGCAATATCAAAGAAGCCATACAGATAACCTACTACAAAGAAGCCAATAGCCTACTTTGGATTATCTGTATGCTTTGGATTGTGTTTGGTATATATTTAAAAAATCTGTTGCCAGCAATATCAACATGACCAAAGAAGCCACATGGCTGCTGCCATATTCATTCCCTTCTTCTCAATTTTTTAGTTTAACTGTAAATGTCTAGGCATGTATTGTTATAGATATAGCAATATTGGAATGCATTAATATGATACGGAAATCAGCAGTACCATGCGAATATTCCCGTGGGAGGAAATTGGCTCCCACACTAATACCCATGTATTGTTATAGATATAGAAAACGCCCCATTATCAGTTGCCTTTGCTAGAAGAAAATCAGATATTATGTGGGCTAGTCCTGGAACATCTGTGTTTGAGCTTTGAGGGTTTGATTGTAGAGTTGACACAGACCTTTAGATCTCCTCATACGCAAGAAGTCTTAAACTGCTATTTCTCTTAAGGGACTTTAGTTTTATGGCTGCTATTTCATGTGAAACTTTTTATTCTTTTTCTTTTTTAGATGGATTATTATTTTTAAGTACTATTTCTGATTTATGTTTGTTTTTAATTATGAAATGGGTTATTTTGTGATTGTAAATGGCAGGCATGGCAAAAAAGAGAAAGAGCAATAATAGAGCATCACATGATCGCGAAATGCAAGAGACAAATCAAACATGTATGAGTTATTTGCGTGTTATTATTGATCAAATTCTTGTTTCTATTATTTTTTATAGTTGTATTTCTATTATATGAATTTCCAAATTTTCAATTATGTTTTGTGTTTGTGTTTCTCTTACAAATGATAGCCATGGCAAGAAAGGGAAAAAGTGAAGACAGAGCATCAGGCAATGCACATCCTCAGTCATCTAGACTCTCCTCAAACCGCCATATTTCCAATGAGTCATCACATGATAACGAAATGCAAGAAACATGTATGATTTATTTTCCATATCATTATAAAGTTAAATTCTTTTTTTGAATTTTCTTTGGTATATATATATTTCAATTTTATGATTAGTTCTCAATTAATTTCCAATTTTTTGTTGTCTGTGTATTTCTATTATAAATTGTAGCCAAGGCAAGAAAGAGAAAGAGTCAGAATAGAGCATCCAACATTACACATCCTCAGTCATCTATACCTTCCTTAGACCAACATGATGACTTCATTGAGCCATCACATGATAAAGAAATGGAAGACATGCCTCTTGAAATTGAACCATCAAATGGAGAAGGTAATTTTTTTTTTTATATATATGAGGTTTAAAATATATAAACACACATCTTTAAATATCTGTACTTTTTTTTTTTTTAAGGTTCAACTGTTGGAATCAGAAAAGGTAGAGGGAAGGCTAAGGGTAAAGATGGAAATAGCACTCTAATTGTAATACATAGAGGAAGGTAATGTATAAGGCCTGCAAAATTAGCCCTTTCTTGCCTAGATTCATTTTTATTTATTTATTTAAATTTGGTTTAAATTTTCAGGATTATAACCACTGGAGCTGTGCAAACTATAGGAGTGCTTTTTTATCAGGCTATCGATGAAGCATGGCCAACATTTAAAAATTTCCATAAACTCAAATGGATTTACTATATGATCGCTTTAATGGAACATGATATACACACACATGCTCAGAAGAAGAGATGAGGGATGCATTCGAACTACATATTAAATTGTGATATTCCGATTGGATGTCCGTATTGAGAAATAGCGTTTTTAAGGAGTACAAGACTACTGGTGATAGATGTGTCATTGCCCATTAGGGAAATCTCAAGATGTTTGGTATAAACTAGTTGACCGTTGGTTGCAGCCTACATGGCAGGTAAAAACTCAATTTAAAATAATATTGTTATGATTGGCTAGTGTATGCGTTGGTTTATTTATAGATGCCTTATATGGGTTCACTAAGTTGATATTAGGCTATGATTTACCTTTTTTCATGCAGGATAAAAGTAAAATAAACAAGTCTAAAAGGGCATAATCCACAATTGTGCATACCATAAGTTCTGTTTCTTTTGTGGTTATTTCCAAATTTGGTCCTAACAAACTTCATTGTTTAAAGGGGCTCTTAGATATGGGTCCAATTTCAAGAATACAATTTGATTGCAGGACAGTAAGTGTTACCTATTAATCCCTGTCCTAAAGCCCAGTCGTGCAGCCACCTAAGCAAATAATGTGGCCACAAATTTTAATTTATTTACAACTACCGCCATTATATACAAAAGGAAATAAATGGAGGTTTAGCCAAATCGCATATATCAGATCCCCCAAATCGCAGAAAACCCAAAAGTCATGCTCTGTCTTTGCCAATTTTCACTGATTTTTTGGTTCCGTAATGGGAAGATTTGTGGGTTCCATCTAATAATTCACGATTACATATGGAATAACTCGAATATTTTGGTGTATCAGAAACTGTGGCGTGAACTAAAATATCTGAATCCCAAGTAAATTCTCTCATTCTCTGGTTCTTTCATCCTTTTCTGTTATGCTTTGTTCCTGATGCTTTCCGAGTGAAGGGTTTTGCTGGAAATTTGTTCTGGCATAACCAACTTTATTGGCTGGCTTATGAATCTGTAATAGAGAAATATCATAACTGGGTTTAATCATCAACTACAACCTGTTGTATAGGTAATTTCAGAAAGTGTTTCTATGCTATAGGTACTATGTGGTAAAATCGTAAACATCCTGTATTTTGGTTAGTCTCCATTTGTTTTAGTTGCCTGTTGCCTTTGGATTGTTGCCTTCAGTACTCTTTTAATCGATTTTTGGAATACTTGCCAATCTTGGGCTGAAACAGGGAGCACAACATCTTGTTCAAGCTTTTGTGCAGTGTATTTAACATATTTGCTACAGCTTGCCTCATTGAATGCATTTAGCAGCTTGTTATGAAAATTTTGGCTTATGAATCTGTAACCAAGAATCTCCCAATGTATCCCCAAGCTGTAATAGAGAAATATCATGTCTATAATCTATAATTAAACCCTTCTGGCTTATGAATCTGTAATAGAGAAATAGCATGTTTATTCATTAGATAAAGCACTCATCCATAAGAGCATATAATGAAGTGTTTGAAACTTTTGGTCATAAAGGTTATGCATGTACTCTAGTTTTTCAACCAAAATCTGTCAATGGTAACAACTATCAGTTTGTGATTCGATATGGCACTTCACGTAGGCCTAACCTACAGTAACCCCTTGAGTGTGTACCTATGGCACAGGCCTAACCTAACCTACAGTAACCCATTGTGTCATGTATTATGCTTCTAATTTTGAGTCAATTACTTGTATATATCTTGGGCACAGGTATTTGGTCTTGTTATTTTTAATTTTTTTTGTTTGACTTTAAACAGGGATGGACGGGTCGATAGTTGAGTAGATGCCGGTTTGGTTTGAAAACTTATTCAGTACTGATTTTCAAGGATACCAAGTACGTGGACTTATGCAGCCAAATTTGCTCTCGATTTAAAGAGCTGAATTCATGCGAAATTGAGATGACATACGCAATTGGAAACCACTCAACATGTTTACTACAAGATGACATGGATGTTCGTGTTTTGCACATGTCTATATCCAATGAAAACAAGAATTTGGTGGATATCGATATTGTTAGAGGTGGAGGTACATTGTTTGGCAAAGGTGTGGAGGATGATATTGATTCATCAGACAATGAAGACAGTAACTCAACTGATGAGAATGAATGTCTGGGTAAGTATGCAGCCAACAAATCAAAACTTTATTTGTCTCATGAGTGGAAAACATTTATCAGTGAAGTTGGGCAAAAATATGAAGGAGGGGTAATTGAGTTTAGAATCAAATTGTGCAAATATGCCTTTGAGAAGGGGTTTAAGTTTGTATATGTGAAAAATGATTTGAAGCGTGTTACAGCAGAATGTGTGAATAAGCAAAGTGAAGGTTTCCCCTGGCGCGTGCATGCAACTTTAAATTCCGCGAATGGGTTTTTCTACATTAAAGATTTGAAAAATGAACACACATGCAGGGGCAGGGTTCAGTCCCATAAAAAAGTTTTTATGGGTTCGAAAATTGTGTCTTCAGTCGTAGCAGATCTGCTTCGAACCAAACCACTCATTAAACCAGCTGATATCATCACAGATTTCAAGCAAAATTATGGGTTGGACATCTCCTATTATAATGCTTGGTATGGTAAGGAGTTGGCCAAAAAAGAAATCCATGGTGATGAAGCTTTGGCTTACACTCAATTGGTGTGGTATATTGACGCTTTGTTGAAAACAAATCTGGGGTCCCATGGTTACCTAGAGTGTGATGTGAAATCATCATGTTTTGAGCGCATATTCATATCATATCATGCCTCAATTGAAGGGTTCAAATTCTGCAGACCATTTCTTTGTCTTGATGGTACTTTTGTGAAAAACAAATACAAAGGGCACCTCCTGGCAGCTACAGGGAAAAATGGTAACCAAGGTATGAAAGTTTTACAAATTGAGGCATGTTTCTTCTTTCTTTTCCTGTATTTGTGATATGTACATTTGTATTCAATTGGTACAGGATTTTTCCCACTTGCTTTTGCCATTGTGGACTCTGAAAATGAGGCAAATTGGACATGGTTTCTTGAAAACCTATCAGAGGTATTGACTGACCAAGGTCGTAATATTACATTTATTTTTGATCGTTGCAAAGGCCTTATCGAAGCTGTATCCAATGTTTTTCCGGAGTCAAATCATTTCTTCTGTCTACACCATTTGAAACATAATGTTCTAGCCAGATATCCTTCTTCAATGGGCAAACTCTATCAAGATTGGATCGTTTGGTGCTTTTCAAGTTGTGCATATGCGCCTACGGAAGGAGCATTTGAACACCACGTGAAGAAACTGAAAAAAGATGGTGGTGATACCATTTTGGAATTTCTGGATACTATACCCAAAGAGAATTGGTCAAATGTTTTTTTCCCAGGTAAACACAATATTTATATGTCAGTTTAATCATTTTGTGTTTAAACATTAGTTTTGCAAATACTTTATGTAGAATCTAATAATCTTACTTCTATATAGGTAAGAAATATGGTGAGATGTGTTCAAATTTGGTTGAGTGTTTTAACTCATGGATTTTAGTTGAGCGTGAGTTACCTATTTATCAATTACTTGATCGATTGTGGACAAAAATGATGGTCAAATATGCTGCTAGGCGTCGTGCAGTTGAAAAATGGACTACATATCTATGCCCAAAGGTGGAAAAGCAGTTGCAGAAGTCTATAGAAACTGGAAGACATTGGGATGTTAACCGTTCAAGTGATAATTTGTTTGAGGTTCAGGCTGGGTATTCCTTTGCTATTGATCTTCACCAACACACATGTTCATGTTGTCAATGGCAGATTAAAGGTTTCCCGTGTGACCATGCTATTACAGCCATCCTTGCTGATCATGGTGATCCGTACGAGTACATTGAACCTTACTTTACTACGGATTACTACAGAAGTTGTTATGGCATCCCAATTGCACCTGTTCCTGATATTGAGAAAGAGGCACCAGAGGGACTCGAAGACTTTAGAGTGAAACCTCCTCTAACTAGAAAACCACCTGGTAGACCTCGAACCAAGAGGATTAAATCTAGAGGGGAGGAAAAAAAATGCTACAAATGCAGTAGGTGTGGTCAAGGTGGCCAGCACAACTGGAGGACTTGCAATGCTCAAATATGAGTCTATTGTCAACTTATTATTCCTTATTTTATGTTTTGGCATAACGACATTTGTTTGCTTTGTTAATTGGATGTTGTTGGAACAAGTTTCATTTTAAAATTTGAAATTACATTTTATCTTATTTGGTGGTGATTTGGATGCGAGAATCCCCTGTGATTTGGGGTTTTAGTGGAGTTCATTGTGGATTGTGGTTCTACACATCATAGAAGGGTGTAGGCTTTTACATTTTAGAGTATGATTTTAGGTTTTGGACATTTTAGCCGAGTCCAGCAGCTATGGGTATTACATAAAAGTCACATTTCTGTTATTTTGCATCTCTAGTAGCATAAGTCGTATGCTACAGGTAACATTTAGCAGTGTACCTACGGCACAGGTAACATCTGACAGTTACCTATATCGCTGGTATTTTACACAACAACTTGATATGGAACCTACCCTACAGGTAAAATCCCATCATGTACCTACAACACAGGTTTGAAACATTGATTAGGATTATCTTCTCAGAAGTTTGATGAGTCCAAAGTTTTCGTGTTTATTTTTGTTTTTTGGGTAAAATGAAATCTTATGCTTACAGTTGTAAGAAACATTTTCAGTTTTATGGTAAAACGAATTTTGAAAAAATGGCAAAAAGAAAGCTTAAACACAATATGACAGAAGCAATATAATAGACTGCTACTCTTTTATTCATGTAGTAGTAGTGAGTAAGTATGCAATGACAATGTTAATGCACATGTGCTACTGTAGTACCAAAAGTTTGTCACGGATAGTGTGGTCTGAAAGATGGTACACTTTATGTTTCATATGCTAATTTTAGATGTACAAGAACACCTTCACGACCAATATCTCTTTATTGTACAGCTGCAATCCAAATTTCAGGTAAATTTAGGCTTGCAGGAACAAATAATTGACTATTAATTTTTGTAAAATGATGTGTTAGATAGAGTCGGTTACCATATTATGTTTTCATATAATTTGAGGCAAGACATTTAGTTTTCCCTGATAATTATGAATGAGTAAGATATCTACCTTAAGTGGATATTGCTATGGCTGTTTCCTTTTCATGGCAGGGCTAGAATCAGTTGCTGTAGTGATCCTATTATGGCGACTAATGGAGAACCTAGCCTACAGGTTACCTACGAAAGTGTACCTATGACACAGGTACCTGATAAATTGCTTGGGATTATCATCTCAGAAGTTTGGCATATGTCTGTTACATAGGTATTGTGTCAGCGATTACCTGTATGATAGAAGCTTACCTATATGATAGGTTGTAAACCCAGAACAATAGTGAGAGTATAAATGTTGGACAGCGTGCAACTGAATAGGTTAAGTCTGTCTATATATGAGCAAAAATTCTCCAATAAATAGTAGCAAAATCTAACAAAAACATTCTCCATACTCCAACAAATGAAAATGAAAATCATTAAAAATGATCAAACATGAGAAATATATAGTACGCATTCCTGACATCCATTAAATGGAAAACAATAATAAATGGAAAACAACAATAAAACAGAAAGCAAGCTAGTTTATCCTGTACGCATCGCAACATCCATCTTCATCATTTATGAACTTCCCAAGCACATGTGCTCTCATATTCTTCATTGCTCCAGTAGGGAATACGTTCTCCAATGCCTTTCCTTCATATAGCGTTTTGATCATGTACATCACAGCAACCCCAGCATCAGCACTACAACATGTTAAAGCAAGCAGTTTAAACAGACAATCTTTTCAATGTAATAATTCCAAAAATCCCAAAAACTATTTACAAACCTGAGAGGATTTTGTTGTGGGCATTCTATATTTGACCTCATAGGATAATCAACACAATTCTCCATCAACCATGTAAGCAGTTCCTGATCATCTTTTGTAAGGTTGCACTGTTGTGTTACGACTTCACCCCTCCTCATAACATGTTTCCATATCTCATTTTTTTCCAAAATTGTATGAACACTACTTTTGGTGAACTGAAAGTGGTTGGTAATTTTAGCTTGCTACAAATGTGACAAATATTGTTGTTACTATATTTTAAAGTAGTAACTGTATATAAGTAAAGGAGCATCGGGTAAAAGGTACTTACAAATTTTAATGCATCATCCAAGTAAGGGTCAGCAGTTGTGCTATCATTTGGATGTAAATTATTGTAGTAGTCCCACCAGCCACTTTGTTTGTTCAAGACTAACAATGTAAAATGTTCCTCTTTGACATGAATAATTGGAAGAAACAGTAAATCGTTGTCTCGCAAATTCTTCAAAACCACTTCAACATACACTACAACTTTTCCAACTTCATCCCTACATTTCATAAGTTCCTAGGAAATGAAGAAGATTAGATAATAATCAATCCATAGCCTGCAAAGAAGACCGACAACGTCTATATTTCATTGGACTTATAGAAAACATACTCTATGCTACAAAAATCAATGAAAATACCTCTCATACAAGCAAGGTAACAAAGAAATAAAAAATTAAAAAATAATGCAAAGAACCAGGAAGGTAACAAAGAAATACACGAGATTAATAGGTAATGGACATATATATATATATATACTCACAGGTAAAAAAACATGTGCTATTGGTACCACTTTCAAATATTACGTACGACCATAAGAGAATGCGTTAGTAATTGAACATACCCAACCAAATGTGGGCATGAAACACCATTTGATCACTATTAAGAATCTCTAAGAATGAATCCATTACCTACAAGGGTCAAAGCACAAATGAATATTTATACCTGCTTTAGTGTCAGTACATATCCTGAAATTATTCACTGTACATATAAGGCAAAAAATACATATTTTACACATGAAGATATAAGTACCTGGATACTCACTGCTTCCTCATTCAAGAGTTGTAGTGCATCTTTGCGATACACCGCAGAACGCACGCCATGCCAAAAGGCATCCCTATGATGACAGAAAAACAACACAGATGACTTTATAAAAATAATTGACAAATCGTAGGATCAGAAACAGAGAAACAAGCGTGAAAGAGTATGACTTTGAAAATAAATTTGATAACTTCATGCAGAACTTACATAGGGTTGTTGGCATCTAAATATTTCTTAAGTATGTCAGCTTCATGGAGCGACAAACACTTGCCAACTCTTAATCTTCTCACACCTATTGGCTTGGCTTCGCAAGTATACCCTTGATCAACTTTCATTTTTTTGCAATTTGTTTTCCCTAATTTGTCTGCATATATGCATACTCCGGCTGAACCAGAGGTTGTCTTGTTCTTGCCCTCATCCTCACAATCATACTGTGTTGTTCTGGTGACCCATCTTTTCCCTTTCTTTTCTGAAGTCGCAATTTCCTTTTTCAACCTTTCATTTTCTGTAAAAAGATCCTTGTTTTTCTCACATTCCACATCCAACATCGCAGTGACCTCCTGCAGTTTTCTTTGCATATCATAAATGTCCACCTACTGTTTGAAGGTTCTTCCTGACTGCATTCCATCAATTGAGTAGGTAACAACTGAAATGCCTTAATAGGATCAAAGTCATCGGTAGACTTTATAGGTGTCTTGCTTGTCTTCCCACCACTGTTTGAAATTATTTCCATAATTTGGGTACCTTTGGTTGGGGCACCGGTTTCATCTTTTGCCTTAATCTCCTACGTAATTCAAAATGAAATGTAACGAGTCAATGAAACAAAAACAGAATTAGCAGAAAACAAAAAGGGAATAAATACTTGGTACCTGTAATGTATGAATTGGAACACATTTCATTCTTGCATATAGCTCCAACAAATTCCATTTCACGAATTTAGGGAAAATACGTTCTCTTCTTTCTATGGGCTGAATTAACTTTGTACGTTCAGAGACCCAAAACTGTAAAAAATAAAGAAAACACACAAATGAGAGCATTTCAAACACATTAATTAGAGTCATTTGTAATATTATAATAACAGATGACATGCCAATAAAGAAAGGAAGATCGTCTTACCAGCAAGCCAACTAAGCAACCACACGCACTTTCCACAGAGTTCATATTCAAAAGAGAGTTATGTAGGTACTCTGTTGCTGCAGTCGCCCATGCATATGTGTGCATCATTTCCAAATTGTCTACATACGCAATCATTTTTTTCATCAAATTGTTTCCACTATTACAAAAGAATAGTGTCACACAGAAATATAGACAAACCAAATGCACGAAATCACTCTCCTCCACACTACCATGCAGCTTAACCACCCTCAATATTTGTTCCTTCAAAACCCTTTTGCTCAAATCCTTGTAATCAGCAAGCCGTCTTTCTATGAAACCACTGCCTACTATTCTCTTATAGTGCTGAAAATTGATTTCTTCCCCTACATAGGGCAACCCAAACAGTAAAGACATATCATTTCCTGTTATCTGTTCATTTCTTTCCCCAAAAACGAAAGTCTTTTTCCCTTTGTCAAAACATTTCAAAATAGAAACAATATCATTATCTGATTTCCTGCATGCATCTTCAATAATAAAACCATCCCAATAACATTTGAACAACCCCCAAAAAGGTGTTCTCTGCATTAGCTCAATATGTGGCTCCCTCACATTCTCTCTAATTCGTTCCATTACGCGATGAAACTTCAACAAGTCCGACCTGTATTCGAGGGAGCGATACTCCTTCCTAGCCATAACGAACCTGCAAATGATGATAAGCAATTAAGAAACCAAATAACATCCAATTAAGCAAGCAAAACAAATTTCATAACAAAAAACAGCAAAAAAATTTCCTATTTAAAACAATAAAACAAGGACAAAATTTTGTTAGAATCATTCTGGACCCATGTCACATACCAACTATGAAGTTTTCTCTCAATGCCAATTAGAAAACGACAAGAAAATGAAAAATAAGGAAAAGAAAAAGAGGGGGGCTATAAAAGGGAAAGAAAACGAAATTCGTTCTGTGGAACAAAAGGAACAGAATCAATTATGTAACAAAAGAGCCAAGAGTAGATCAGATACATAAACCAAATTGCTACACCAGCAAAATAATAGATCAAAGTAGACTGACTGACTGTAATAATACATCAAACAGGAAAAGGACCTCTCTTACGTGAAGTCAAACTTGTTCTGTTTTTCCTTTCATTTTATTTTTCTTAAGAGAAAATAAGATATTACTATTGTTTGAATTGATTGATATATAT